AAATGAAAATATGAAATCAGCAAAAATTGTAAAATAGTGAGTCAAAGTGAGTGGTGCTGCTAAGAGGATTTTTATTTTTTTCCTTTTTTTTCCCTTTAATTTACTGGATGAGGGTCTTGTCCATTCTTCCTGTCGACTACAAGCATTATCCTCACCATCCCCCAAGCTCTGGCTAAGGGTTGTGACAGTAGTTGTAATGGAGGATACGACTGTGTAGAATCAGATAAAGCACCAGTGGATCTGCTGTGTGCCCTAGTATTTTATTTTTCTGCTTCTTCACTCTGTAATACAGACTAGTGTTATCAGTATGGATTTTGCTTCAGACCGGTACCAGTAAGATGATCCTACACGTATCCCATACTCACTTCCTTGCCACACAATTTGCATATTGCAAGGTGGCTTTCTTGGAGGCACACAGTGATCCCAAACTTTTCTTTGACGTGATACATAATTTCCCCATCTGTTGCCTGTGGCTACTGAAAAACAAACCAGCACTTTGTTGATGAATGATAACAGACGTTTTTATGGTGGTGGTGCTGGTGATGGCAACATTGACCTTGGGTGAGCTGCTTGTGCTCACAGTAGCAGTGCAGTTGACATCACAACTGTCCATTTCAAATTTGATGAGGTCATTCCGGGCCCAAACTGGACATTGAGCAAATCAGAAAAATGTCCGGCGAGCTACTATGGCCATGGTCTAAGATCAACATGAGAGATCAGAGGGATCTGTTCTGCCAGCCCATGCAGAGCTGAAACTATGTAAGCCCTGCTGCCAACCCATGATGAGTTGGTTGGGAGATCAAAGATCGGCTCATTGGCATTTTAATCCGATAGAGTAAGGAGATGATCTGGAGTCTCTAGCCTGCCGCTTGGGCGGGTTGCTCTCGCAAGCTCAGAGCACTGCTGCAGTTACCATGGCAATGCTCCGCATTCACAAGAGTGAACTCTACCTGGAGGAGATGCAGGCTAGAGTTCACTCACCACAAGACCACTAGGGCTGGCCTTGTAATGTCTCCCCTTGTGGGCCAAAGGTAAAGAAGGCAGAGTGGACAGAATATTTGCTTTGCAACCATATGCCCCCCCCCCCCGTATCTCCTAAAACACTTCACCCCACCCATGCACACACAACGCACCCCTACACACTAGATCCCTTAAACATGCTAAACCACTTATACACTTTCACTACATTCCTGACACTTTGGATCCCTTATGCATAAATCAGGATTCCGACTAACCACTATCAAGAAGGCAGGGTGGACAGAACGGTCATTTATATTAGTTAAAGATAATGTATATTTGCTTTGCAACCATTTGCCGCCCCCCCCCCCAGTATCTCCTAAAACACTTCACCCCACCCATGCACACACATACTGCACCCCTACACATTAGATCCCCTAGACACTACATCCCTTAAACACGATGAACCACTTATACACTTTCACTACATTCCTGACACTTTGAATCCCTTATGCATACACTAGAACCCATGTAAGCACACACTCTAAAGTATCTACACTTGCTACATTCCCTATACACACTATGCCCCCCATGCACACATACTCTCTCACTCTCTACAACCCCTCATTCTCTGGTTCACTCTCTAGCCACACATTTTACACCACAAACACTACCGAAACTGACCTATTTACATAAAACACCACACCACAGTAAGTTAACTCTACACAGATGCAACCCCACCAGCAGCCTCCAACCACATGCACAATATGTTTTCTTGTCCCTTGTGTTCTTTGGTATCTCACTTATTGAAACAGCAGAGACAAGTTACAAGCAAACAACGCAAGCATGCCATTAAATTTGCTTGAATATAGGGCTTCTTTCTCATGCAAGATCTCTTCAACAGGGCTCTGTATGGGCTGCCCTGGAAGAACATTGAACCAACATGCTCAATTTAGCATAATGAATTAAATCAATCTTAAAGTGAAACTGGGTACTTGTCTCTAAGAGTAGTATTTAAAATATGAAATCTCAGACTAAAAAAGGCATCTTAAAAGGATTAGATAAAAGAGTCTCTCTGTTTGGAGACACCACATTCTTATTCCCCTCCAGAGAGAAATAAATTGGTTAAAGGACACCAATTTATTTGGACGCAAGTTAGCTTTAAGTGCTTTATATAAAAGAAAGAAATAGAACTTATCAAAAGAATTGAAAATTTCTCAAGGTGACTATGAACATTTTCAAACTTTATTTTCAGCACTAAAAAAAAAAAAAAAAAAATCAGGATTCCGACTAACCACTATCAAGTTTAAGACCAGACAACTGGTATTCACGAAATGTAAAGACATTTCTAGTGTGGATTTATTTGTTAAAATTATGGCAGATGAAATTGAGTTTTAACCACCACCACAAATACCTATGGACAATTAAACTTATATGGAATGAAGGGACTTATGAGAGTTAAATAATACAAATTTGTCCATTAAACCCTCAGTTAAGAGAGAAATATTGTCCTACTTAAATTGGGACAAATACATTGAATTATGCAAGGATCCCTTTAGGAATGCATCATGTGATCCTACTGTACCTTATCTGACAGAGTTGAAGTTTATTTTAATTCTGGCATTAGAGAGGCATAACAAAAGAAGAATATAAATTAATTTTACCACATTACTCTGATAATCTCCACCGACTACTGCCTACCTAACGTCCACAAAAATCCAGTGGACCATCCAGGCAGACCTGTAGTCTCTGGTAACAACTTCTTAAAAGAAAATGCAAGTTAATACTTGGAAATGTTGTTGCATCCATTTGTTACAAACCTGTCCTCTTATATCCAGAATAGAAAGCAGACTGATAGCTCTAGAAAATCTCACTGTTCTTACACTGTTTGGATATGGCATCCTTATATAACATTCAACATAAGGTATTACAAGCCACTGTGTACTGAAATATATCATCAAAATACACATCAGCCCAAAATAAATTTATTGAATCAATATTTAAATTCACATTAATGCACAACGTTGTGTTTAATGGCAAATATTATTTACAACTTAGGGGCATGATGATGGGCATGGGGCATAACTTATAACATATTACTAGCTATGCTAATTTGTACCTAAAATGGTGAGAGGAAGCCATTTTAGAGAGGCTAATTAGTTCCAATTCATAACTGGTTGGTATAGGTGTATAGACGATATACTTCTGTTGTGGACAGGATCAATTAAGTTGTTTGAAGAAATAATTCAAAACATGAACTGTAATAACATTAGTCTAAAACTAATGTTATAGATGAAGAAAAATTGGAATTCCTTAACTTGACTATTAAATTAATGGAGGATGGAAAAAATTACGACTGAACTGCTAGAAGAAACTGTTTGACCAATACTTGGAACTCATACAAATCTCATAATTGGCCAATTCTTAAGCATGATATAGATCGTGAAAATAGTTTGGCACCTTATCCCAGTATTACAACTCTAGAAATTTAAGAGACCAGATACCATCTAGTTCATAGTTATGTTAAACCAATAAAACCCCCACAGAGGGTTGGGGTAGAGTTAGTTTTGGGTGTAGGGTTGGGGGTAGGGGTAAGGGTAAGGGTTAGATAATTGCTGAAGTCCTGAATTGCCGAAGTCCCAGAGTGCCGAATTGCTGAAGTCCAGAAATGCCCAAGTCCCGAATTGCAGAATTCCTGAACCCCTAACCCATAACCCCTAAGATGTAAAGTGCATAGTTTTGACTTAATATCGTGGTCTGTAGTTTTGCATACTATGCAGCTATTGCATTTAAAAAAACCTTTTGATTGGGATAAAGAAGTGTAGTTTTTATTTGTGTTATCTTTGCTATAGTTTTTAGTGAGGATTGATTTAAAATTCAGAGCACCTCTACAAACAATAATAGGCTTATCTGGGATATACTTTTTTAAAACATCACCCTGCTTTAAAATGTGCCAATGTTTGTTAATAATTCTTTTTACAGTTGTACTTTTGTTATTAAAATTAAAAATGACAGATATAAATGGGAGGTCTTTCTTGTTTTTTTTTATATATTCGAAAAGGTCTTTTCTGTCTTTATTTGTGACTGTTTCAAGAGTTTTATTGAGATTATCTGATGGATAGTTTTTATCAATACATTTTTCTTTCAATGTTTGGGATTGTTCTTTAAAATCTTTAGTGTTAGAACAATTTCTGCGAAGACGTAGAAACTGTCACGGGCGGCGGTTCAAAAACCGGGACCCCAGTGCGCCTGATGAGAATGATATGAGTCTCAGTATGGAAATGGACAAACAGGGTTTGGTGCAGGGTAACCAAATGCCCCCTGGTGATATGCTGACATGTAGTTGTATCTTTTTTCTAGTACTGGATACAACAGGCACCAAACAAGAAAACAAGACAAGACTAGAAGAACCCAGAACCGGAGCAGGACAGAAAGCAGAACCCAGAACACGTACACAATACATGAGGGAAACATGAACAGGATATGGACAGGACAGAACTGTACATGAACTGGGAATACAAAACAAAATAAAACAAGACAAGATATACAAGGCAAAACAAGAAGAGACATAACTAAGTACTATACATGTAATAAACATTGGATATCTAGACATACATAAATGGCCAAGATGTATGCAGCCCACCACTGTGCCAAAGTACTCCAATTACAGTGGGTCTTAACTGCCTAGATATGCATGACCAAATAAACAACAATAAAACACACACAGTACTTACCTGCAAAGAAAGGTGCAGAGGAAATAAGACCACTGCTTGCAGAAACAGACTGAAACAAAAGGGATTAATGATTAAGTAAAGAACAGTTGGCCGAAAAACAGTTCAAGAGGACAGACCGGGGGTGACCCTAATGAAATTAATCATTAAAGAAAGAAGGAAGGAGGAGAGTCTGTCCTACAAAGTGTAAATATATATATTTACACTTTGTAGGACAGACTCTCCTCCTTCCTTCTTTCTTTAATGATTAATTTCATTAGGGTCACCCCCGGTGTGTGTGTGTGTGTGTGTGTGTGTGTGTGTGTGTGTGTGTGTGTGTGTGTGTGTGTGTGTGTGTGTGTGTGTGTGTGTGTGTGTGTGTGTGTGTACACACACACACACACACACACTTTATTTCACAAAACAAAAAGGGAAGGGAAGGAGGAAAAGAAAGGAAAACCTACATATAAAATAAGAATCACCTAAATAGGTGAATTATTTGCACAGTGATTGCCGAAGCAACAATGTATAAAAAAAAAAAAAAGAGTATCAGACTCTATAATGTAACTCTAAATTTGTTACATGAGAATCAGATATTTGGCAACGGTATATCAGCGGTGCATGAGAGAAATACAACAGTTTACTCAAAAACATCAGATAGAACTATTAACCTCTATAGTCCGCCACATACTGAGACTATGAGAATAGTGTACTGGCAATTTAAGAGGCTTGCAATTCACTACCTCCCATTGCCAGTCCTAAAAGTATAAATAAGGGCTGGCAGGGCTTACTAAAAGTAATAAGGTTGATAGTGAAAAGAAAGTTATGCAACTGCAAGCTCACTTAAACAGATGATGATATACACAAAACATATAATAATGTATATGAAATCTATGCGGCGAAAAAATACTAGTAGTAAGATCCTACGATCATAACATGGGGTGATCCCCACAGGGTAGATCTTTGGGAATCACCTACAAATTGCCTTAAAACTTAATGTATATATCACCTAACTGGGGTTCAGAATGTGGACAAGCGGGTCAGGCTGGTAATATTTAAGTAAATAATACGTGGAAATTCATGAAAATTGCAAACAAGCCGATCAGGCTGATAATGTATGGGTTAATAGTACGTGAAGATACACAACATATAAGCTGCCTATTAGTTCTTCTAATCTTATTCAATGCCAGGAACTAAACATTCCAATACCATGCCCCATGAGTATAGTCAATAGCAGTAACGCTGATGGAGCTAGAGACAGAAGGTAAAATAGGTGGAATGGTGCCTTAGTGGGCACCTGGTATAGTAAAGAGATATGTAGAACAAATTAGATAGAGTAACTGTACGTACAGTCTAATAATAACAGCAGTCCTGCAAGTTTAATCGTCCTAAGTGAATACCCTGATCGGTAACAAAATTACCATTCAACTGAGGCGGCTGTCAGCCGTCTGAATTATAAAAGTCCCAGACAGGCAGTTTAATAGCGCCAGCAAAGAATATAGTAACTGTGAAGAAACCCCCCTGTTCCCTATGTTATTTACTGTTTGCATTCCCTTTTTATCCTCTATTTGCTGCGTATTGCATTCGGTAGATGAAACTACCAAACAAGGACCACCCTCTGGCTCATTAAACATCAAAGGTTTAGGTGAAATTGCTACCTCTGTCTGTGCGGCCAGCGATCGTTAGTCGAACGCCACTAGGCAGAGAAAACCGCAGCCATCTTTGTTCATGCGAACAAAGGCAGCGGAACCTGGTCGTCGAGTGCATGGAACTGTTTTACGGACACTCGACTTCCCGAACACCAATCCCAAACAGACGAACGCTGGAACTCTATTTACTAGCTAGAAGAGCGCTATTCGGTACTTTGGTGAATTCGACAGAGGGGCACGAACGCTGCTAGGAGCCAGAGGGATCCATTTGGTATTTTTAGGTTTTTCGAAAGTGACCGGCAAAACCCACCAAATTTGTGGAACTGTTTTGAGCATGCAGCCCAGGGTGAGCCGGTCACACAAGACTTCCATAAAATTTGCGAACCCCTGAATCAATCTGGGTGAAATTCGAATATGTTGGTCACCCAGATCAGGGCTATCAGGGGACACATAATTTATGGGGATACCCCCAGTATAAAGGGGTGTTCTGAAAGTTGGGGAAAAAGTGATTTTTCAGCCCGGAGATAAATTAAGTTACTATTTTATCAGACTAAATTATCTTCTGGGCTAGGGTAGGGAATTGTAGGTGTGTGTTAACATTTTACTGTTTGTGATTGGTTATTGTTTGTCCCTCCCTAAGGGCTGTCCCCTTGCATGGGGACTTGCATAAAAGCTGTGTGCACCCATTAAAGGACAGTTCATTTTGTATCCTTCTTCTTGACTTCGGCTGATGTTTGGGGATTCGCGTGTTTCACTGAGGGAATTATCTAGTGAGACAATTGGAATTGCTATAGGATTCATCTACCCTAACTACCGAATAGAGGGCTATAATCACTAAGGCTCTGGCGGTTCGGGAGGAAACTACTGAATGAGGTTAAATATACTTGGTTTCCTTACAGTAACCGGTAAAGGGACAAAAAAAAAAAAAGAGAATGCCTCAGGAACAGGGATTTAACTGAAAAAGATCGGGTAGGTGTCAGACACGACACGCGTTTCGCCGGGATTAGAGGCTCATCAGGGGGCCTAAAAGGGATTAATGGCAAAGGAACATGTGTGGCAACTAAAAACATGCATTTAAAGGAATCCAGGAGACTGGGAATTCCAGGAATGGAATAAAGGAATGAACCCAGAAAACCCAGCATAAAGAAAACCAGACATAGAATAGAAAACCATAAAAAACAAGAAAAACTAAACAAGAATTGTAAAAAGAGTACTGGATACCAGAAGCCAAGGCCAGACATCTGAGCAGAATGGTACAGGATGTGACAGAAACTGGCTCTTAGGGATACCATTTAACCAAGGTTTAAAATGACAGCTAGATTGTTCAAAAACCGTGTTGGGGGGCGTGGCCTAGCACCAAATGTGAGCGGACGCACGGAAACTAACCTCCCCGTCTGCGGCAACTAAAAAGCTGGTTAAAAAGACCTAATATATACAAATGGGCAACAAAAAGAATACCCCGGACCAAGGATCCACTAAAAAATCCGACGATCTGGACAAATACTTTCGAGACACATTGAAAGTGCTCGGAACAGGCCTGGACGACAGCCAAATGGCGCCATCTTCGCCACATGGATCATCACCACAAAGCCCTGCCGGGTCAGAAGTATCTTCAGACCCCAGAATGGTGGATATTAAAGAAATCCTGCAAAATTTACCATTGACTAACGACACTGCAGCCATGCTGGTGAAATTGGAATAATCCATGCAGGACCAGATCACCTCCCTGATGTCTGATATCAGGCAAGTTAATAACAGGGTCGGGGACCTGGAAGAAGATAGGGATCAAATATTAGACAGAATACTATCACTAGAACAAAACCAAGAAAACAGATACTAAACTTATGTACATGATGAGAAACACTGAAGATCTAGATAATCGCAGCAGAAGAAATAACATACGAATTAGGGGGATGCCAGAATCACGGGGGAACCCTGAAGACCTCCACTTAAAGGACCACTATAGTGCCAGGAAAACACTCGTTTCCTGGCACTATAGTACCCTGAGGGTGCCCCCACCCTCAGGGTCCCCCTCCCGCCGGGCTGGATGGAGAGGAAGGGGTTAAAGAAGCTATCATTAGGAGCGCCAGAGAAACCTCAGAAATTATATATAACAATGCAAAAATCTTACTCCTCCCCGACCTCGCATGGCTGACACTGAGAGGGAGAAGAGCCCTAAGACCGATTACACAGCCAAGGTGGTCAGGTAAGAATTCACCCGGCCAACAGGCCAACATAAAATACAGATAGGGGTTCCCCTTCTCATTGACTGCCTCCCACCAAGGGACACAAGCCATGCTCACAACTGCGGCAGATGCGGAAGAATTCTCTCAACGCCTAGGGCTACCCAACATTGAGATACCAGATTGGTATGATATCTCTGAACCAGAGACAGTGCAAGCACAACAACAATGACCGAGAGGACAAGCACCTGATGCTCGGAAAAGAACAGCGTGGAAGACGCCACCTGCATCACCCTTCTTAAGACCCGGGAGGTAACCAACGACTCAAAGGAGAATAAATTGAAAGCCGGAAAACACTCCTTTGCCTAAAAACTATTGCTGTTAATGACTGTCACACCAGTTTTGAAAGACTACTACCGCATAAACCGCATACTCCTTAATATGCGGAAGTGGTAAATATATAATGGTGTAGTTGTGCATGATCACATGTTGGCAAGTCTGTAATGGTATTATTACACTCTAAATAACTGCTGTATATAATCAATCCTACCTCATAACAATGACTTCAACCCAGAAACCCCTGGGATACAATACAGCCCAATTAATAACCAGTCCGTATCCAATAAGTGCAACTTTATCCGCCATTAGGGGAGCAATGCACTCACTCGTATTAAAGTCACCACGCTCCACAGTACATTCGGTGAAAAAACCCCATCCCCTACAGAATTGAACTGATTTAAACAGTTCAGAAGTAAATGCCATGAGCAAGACCACTCTCCTCCTACACATTTAGTAGGACCATTAGAGGTCCTGAGCGGTACTAAATTACCACCTCAATCTCGGAATATCCAACATTTACCCCCTGAGGCAGTACACAGGACTGGGTAAACTCAGGGCTCAGTACCGACTCCTTAATAGAGATCTAGGACACCCAAGCAAAACAAACAACTCCCTAACACCAAGCTCTGGGCCACTATTACCCACGAGAGGATAGTGCTCCCATTGGAGCAACTCCTCGGGGGACACTAGACTCAATAATTACTTATTCTTCCACTGTAAATAGTTTATTATTTGTTATTCAACTTTACGCAACTGCCTAACCAGACTAACAGAACACAGGTATCCTACAGCAAGGGCACCACATACGCTCTCGCAGATAACCGATACACCACAGACAACCCAGTAAAACCAGCATAGCTTAAAATTTAACTGACATCCAGAAAGTCTTAAAGACAGACCTGTACAGGGGTACACTTTATATTAGCTCCCAAAATGTCAGCGGACTTAAGATCCCTGAAAGGAGAAGGATGGTACTTACAGAACTTGCCAATACGAAGATAGACATAGCATTCCTAGAAGGAACTCATCTGAGAGGGCCAGACGCTCCGAAACTCAAAAATCCCAAATTCCCACATGTATACTACAATAATTATAACAAAAGCAAAATCGAGGGGAGTAGCGATACGGATAGGGAACAAAGTCCCCTTCAATTACTCAAACCCCATTGCAGATGAATGAGGGAGATTCATTATTCTACAAGGGACGGTAGGAACAGAACCAATTACTCTGGTTGCAAACT